CGTGCCATGCATTAAATCAAATATTGGTCGCTTAGAGAAAGCGATCTGACTGCGACCCAATTGGCCAAAGATAACACAGATTTAACATTGCTTATCTTGCAAAGGCTGACTCCAACTAGACTAATGAGACCGATTGAGCTTGAAAGAATATTTAGTGGAAATTTAACACAATTTTTCTATTTTACAGAGATGGTTAAAGCACAGGAGACCATTTGTTCGATAGTATTCGATTATCTTATAACAAAAGTTATAAATAATTAATCACAATTGTTGATATAAAATTTATATGTATAGAACGTCAGTATAACAGCATGCAGAAAAAGATTTTACTGGAGCGCTTCAAAAATACATGTCCGAATTCCACGATTAAAACAGATTATAAGAGATTTAACCTTAAGTCAAGCTAATAATAGAATATAATAACAGTTTACAGGCAAAATATTCCACTTGAGCTTTTTAACAATGCATACTCAAAGGTCACCTTAACTTTAACTGATATAGAATATAGCAGGAGTGAATATAACAGCACACTCTTAAAAGACTCAGTATTCCTCACTCAAAGCTAACGAGCCGAAAGCGTCAGAGCGAGAGGGCAATATGGACAGAGAGTCTATAAGCGATACCGAAACTTAACGCTGCAAAGTGCGTAAAGCACAAAGGCAAGCAAGCGAGAGCGAGAGAGAGGGTTAGCTACCGAGGGAGAGAGTGTGCAAAAAGCTCACGCTGATAACAGTTTGACAGGCGCTCGCCATGTCTAGCAATATAAAGCGAGCGCTGAGCGTCCAGTCAACTGTCAGCAGCCGCAGCAGGTGCACAAAGCAGAAAAGTTTTCGCTGAATAATTGTAGTTCTCATTAAAGGCAAAAGCAATGACAACTCTTGTGCGTAAACTAATTAGCACTGCAAATGCAGCAAAGCCGGTAGCTCCATACAAGTAAGTAGGAGAGCAAAGAGCAGGAGAGAGAGAGCGAACTGTCAATCATGTCTTTGTTGTTGCAGTCAAGCTGTTGTGGCCGATCGCACTGTTTATGTCTCCGGCTGTTTGGGCTTGGACAAGACTACGATGAAACTGGTGCCAGGTGGCGCCACTGAGCAAACAGAGATGGCGCTGCAAAATCTGGAGGCAGTGCTTAAGGCAGCCGATTCTGGCATCGATAAGGTGATCAAGAATACAGTTTTTCTTAAAGATCTGAATGACTTTGGTGCGGTCAACGATGTGTACAAACGAGGTGAGCAGTCCAATTGGTTTTATATTGTTTTTGCCGATAAGCCAGCGGCATCTGTCGTCTTATCAAATTTCCAATTGACGACGAGAGCAATAAAAACATAATCGATAACATTTTGCGGTTACAGTGTTCAACAAGGACTTTCCAGCACGCAGCTGCTTCCAGGTGGCCAAGCTGCCAATGGATGCTCTCGTGGAAATCGAGTGCATCGCCATGACGGGCCCCGTGCGCACAGTTCAAAGCGAATAGCAATCAAAGAACGCTAAACTTTGATCCGGAGTCAACGTAAATAAAAAATAAAACTAAATAAAATCATAAAAGCAACTAAAAATGAACACAAAACTGACTTTTACAACTTTTTGATATGAGTGCTAGAGATGGCAGCGTGTCACGATGAATGAGAGCAAATATATTTGGGCACATGTTGGCTGCTCGCCGGAACTAGCAACAATTGTTGCTGCAGCACAAATGTTGCTGCGTGCGCAGGCGTTGCTAATCGCCGTCTTATGTAAAAAGAGAAAAATAGAAAAACAGACAACAACTTTGCATTTAAGCCTTATATAGTTTACAATTTGCAGCGGCGGCAATTTATCTTTGTTTTTATAATCATTTTGTTGTTGCTGTTGTTGTTCGTTCAGCTGCGGCTGCTGTGCGCCTTTTGTATTATATTTCATCAAATGTTGCTGCATAAATCATTGGCAACATGCGGCACAACTTTTTGGCAATGTTGCTAACGGTAGCCGGTTAGCCAGCCGCTTAGACAAAGCGTTTATTTTACATTCAAATTTAAAAGTTATTCATAATGCCGACAACTTGCTTGCCGCTTGCCGCATGTCGCACGTTGCACGCTGCACGTTGCAGCGGTTGCAATTGCAACTTGGCTGCTCCACATTGATGCGGCTGCTGCCTTTTGGGCAATGCCATTTTTGGCTCTCAGCTTCGTTTTGTTTAGCATTTGTTTTGATTTTTTCTCATTGAAATGAATTTTCAGTGAATTTGTCTGCCACTCGACGCTGTTGCATGATTTATTAACCTTGTTGCAAGTTGCTGTTGTTGCATGCATTGGTGTGAATATGAATGCTGCACTGATGCACGATTATCGCAATTTATTTGTATCTCTCTTTTTATGTTTATATTGTTTCTGTTTTGTTTTCTGCTTTTTTTTTCTTCAGTCTTCACTTGGCAACATGTTTAGCACCCGCAGCGCTGGCAACATTCATGTTGATTTGGTTGGCGTGTAATTAATTCGTGGCACATCACAATTTACATGCATAAATATTGTAATAAATACGCATAAATTGATGACAACAAACTGCAACAAGTGATGGCCCGCTGCAGCAAGCCAGCCTGCCTACCTGCCTGCCCCCTGCTGTGCTCCATCTGCTCAGACATTTGACATAAACACCTACGCAGTCGCTGCTGCGGTCGCCGTCGCCGTAGCCATCGCCTCGACTTGCTATGAAGTGCGGCTAATTAATTTCGACGCACAGGCGACAAACAGAGCCAAAGGGACACCAATGGCAACACCAACGCGGTGAAAGTGCGCATAATTTACACGCACGGGCCAAGGCGACATGCCAGACAGACGCCAATTGCGACTGGGTTACTGGAAAACTGAAAAACATACAAATACACAACAAATGTACACCACAAAATTTTTAAATATTCGAAATTTTGGTAGTTAATTATTGTCAATTTACTTATCAGCTATATGCCTTTGATCGAGCAATCGCTAATTAAACAAGCTGCATGCGGCAGCAGACGAAGACGACCAAAAGTATCAAATTACAATATTTTGCAATTTACCAATCAGTCGCATGTTGTCATAATTAATATATTATGCGACATAATAAAACAGTTAACACATAACTAATTAGTTGGTGTACAAGGCAAGCTTTCACTTGTCCTGCAAAGTGTTGTTTAATCATACAAGTTAATATAGGTTTTTTTGAACTACAATTCTTGGCGCGTCATTTTAAATTTAGCATACTCTTGGGCGCGAACAAATATATCGATATTTCTTTAAAAATATAACCCTCTGTTAATATTAGGAGCAATAGATGGGTTTCCTGTTAACACTCATGCAACAGCTGTTGAATACTCGCGTATGATTATATTCATACTGTAAAGTTGAAGAAGCTTAGTTGCGCTTACTCATTAATATTATTAACACAGCTAAATACAAAATATTGCACAATTAACAGCAATTATTCCTTGTGTATTTTTAAACAATAAAAACTGCGGCGCAAATGTATCGATATTGCATGCAACATTGCCCTGTTCGTCGTGCTGAGCTGGTCTCTCTGTCAATGAATGGTACATAACTATCGCTTATCGACATGTCGGAATGGCAAAATTAGAGCATAACAACACAACAGCCGAATTTCTCATATGAATTACATATAATCAATATACATTGCAATGCATGATAACTTAACAAGCCCCAAAAGAATTGGTAACTTATTGCGGTAACAACGATAAACAAGTGATAAACCACAAGCCAGCGATATTTCGTTAAAAACAAAGTGAACGCCGCTTTGGCAAAAAAAGGTACAATACAACAACAAGAAGCAGCACACACACACACACAGACACAAAAACACACATACACAAGCGCATTTGGTCTCTTTGCCATGCATGAAAAAGTGAAATAGCAAAAAATCAACTATCCAATTTTTAACGAAACAACAAAATATACAAAGTTACCCCAGTGATTCATATTTATTAATGCGCTTGATTTTTAGTGCCACACTATTATAATACCAATTGTTGCTAAAGATTAATTATTTCATGTAATACAAAACAACGATTTTTAGCGCTCCGTGTGAGTTCATTTTTACATTTCTCTTTATGTGCGCCTGCCTACGTCTGTCACTGTGTTTGTGTGTGTGTATGTAACAAAATCGTTGGATTTCTGAAAGCAACAACACGAAAGATCATCACTGCGACAATGAAAGTCCCAGAGAGTAGGAAGAGGCAGGAGAGTGGGAGAGCGAACGAGACTCGCCGATTGCTATGGACAAAAAAAAAAAAAAAAAAAAAAAAAAAAAAACGATGCTGCTGACTTGCAATTGCAGCGCGAATGCAAAAAATAAACACAAGAAAAAAAAAATAAACAGAAATTTAACTGATCACTTTGTATATTTTTCTCTCTTTCATTTGCGCACTCCTTTATAGTCACCCGCCGCCCACAAAGCTCCTCAGTACAAAGACAACACCTGCAACGGCAACAACAACGACTACGCCAACGACGACGAGGACGTAACCGTTTGTTTATAAGAACAAGAGGAGCACGAGAAGCGCCGTTAGCAGCGTTAGCGTTGTATTAACAGCGCTGCCGCTGGCGCAGCCATCGCCGCGTCGCTGGTAAAGTGGATAAGAAGGAGGAGGAGCAGAAGAGGGGGGAGCTGTGCCGAAGACACCTAGAAAATATGAATCTAAGGGGAAATCCTCAAAAAAAGGAGGGCAAAATGCGCATACGCGCCTTCCCGGTAAGTCCCCCTCAAAGTATCGAAAATCGCCGGCTCAAGCATGAGCCAGCATAAATTTTGCGAAGTGATAAGATTTATATGTAGATAATATAGAACAGCCTCTTTAATAATGCACACACACTCCCACACATACACGCTCTCTCGCACTCTCACGTTGTCTGAGTGTGTGTGTTTTGTGTGTTTCGGTTTCCGTTTCTGTTGATACGGCCGGCCTTCACCCTCTCACTGGGGCGCTGGCTCAGCAGGCTGATCGACGCTGCCTAACACTGTTTCGACAAAGTTCTGTCAGGGTTGAAATTTGATGAAAAAGCTTCATCACATTTTAGTTTTTAAGTTACTTTCAATCTCAACTTAGTTTCGACAAATTGTTGTTGTTTTCCAACACACACACACATACGCAGAAGCAGAGACGCCAGAGTACCGGAAACGCATTGATGACGAGCGCAGACGACGTCATTTGGACAATTGTGGGACGCTAGCGCCAACTGGCGGATGTCAATAAGGCCTACAAACGGCAGCCGCTCGCTAACGGCACCAGCAGCGGGCCAACGCCAACAAACTGCTGCCCGAAGTCAACAGGAGCAAACACAGCCGGAACAGCTGCTGGCTACGTCTCAGTCCTACTACATAATTGGGGAGCATCGATATAGTTGGGAGCGCGCGCTTGGTTCCCATAGTGGAGCCGGCGGCGCGCGTTTGCCTCCCCCTCCGATGTACAGTCAAGATCCGAGGATCGGTCTCTTTGGTGCCGCAGCGCCGTCGCAGTCGCCGCAGCCGCAGCCACCGTCACCACCGTCACCGCCACCGCCGTCGTCCAACAATCGGCTAAACAGTCTGCTTAACCCAACTCATTATTACCCATCACCCGGACCCGTATCATCACCGCCATCCTCGCATTCACGAATTGTAGCCGGCTCAAATAATTTTAATCATCGCTCCCGCAATACACGCAATGCCCAGGGGCAGCAGCAGCACCCACGCATTCAGCACGCGAACGTGCCACTCAATGTGCCGCAGCAGCAGCAGCAGCAGCAACGTGGCTCGGCACGCGCTGCAACTAGCAATAATACGTTTGCCGCATTGGGCAGTGTGGCAGCACACGGTGAACATTCCGTAAGAGCGACAGCAGCTATGCAGCCAGTCGGAGCCGGTGCCTGTGCCGGTGCCACACAAATGCGCGAAATTGGACGCAAGTATCCATTGTGGCTGCCCGAGTATAAACGTCGCGCATTCAATGTTAGCCCCCCAACAAATCTGCCTTAACATTTAAGATGAATAATTCGACATCTGTGTAACATTTAATAATAATCAATTTTATTTCGTTCTTTTTCTTTCGCCCCATCTTGCAGGCCTCCATGGATGAGAAGTACGTGGAGGATATATGGGCCACACTGAAAAATGCTATACAGGAGATACAGAAGAAGAACAATTCTGGCCTGTCCTTTGAGCAGCTGTACCGCAATGCGTACAATATGGTGCTCCACAAGCATGGCAATCGTCTGTACCATGGACTGAGCGACGTCGTCTCGAAGCATCTGGAGCAGAAGGTGCGGCAGGAGGTGCTCGAGCGCTTGCACAGCAATTTTCTGCCGAAATTGAATGAAGCCTGGACCGATCATCAGACCTCAATGGTCATGATACGCGACATACTCATGTACATGGATAGAGTCTATGTGCAGCAACGCGGCTTGGATAATGTCTATAATTTGGGTCTTAATTTATTCAGGGATCAGGTATGTTGTTGTAGTACTCGAAAACTATAAATTTGATCTAAAATTAACTAATTCACAATTTAATCTAACTGCGCAAAGTTTAGTTTCGTTTAGTTTAATTCATTTATTTTCATAATGTCTTAAAATCAATAGTAATAATAATAGTAATAGATCCACTTAGATTTATTTATATATCACATGCAGACGCTCGTGCTATAGAAGAATGTCAAAAGCTTTAGAAGTCTTTTCCAAAGACCCTTATCTGTAGGGTATTCATTTCATTTGTTATCTTAATGAGGCTTAATTTTTTTAGAAATGTGGCTATACTACACTGATTGAGTTTTAGTGATTTGCAATAGTAAATGATAAAAATAACCTACTGTTAAAAAAAAATTGAATCGATTTTCAGGTCGTTCGCTTTCCGGAAATACAGAAAGCGCTACGAGAGAGGCTGCTGGGCATGGTTATGGAGGAGCGTCACGGCGAGCCGATCAACCATTTGGCGATCAAAAATGCCTGCACGATGCTCATTACGTTGGGAATCAATTCGCGAACCGTTTATGAGGAGGACTTCGAGAAGCCTTTTTTGTCACAGTCGGCGGCCTTTTACAAATTCGAATCGCAGAACTTTCTTGCGGAGAATAACGCTGGCGTTTACATCAAGAAAGTTGAGGCGCGCATCACCGAAGAATCATCGCGTGCAGCACTTTATTTGGACAAGGATACGGAACCGCGCATTGTGCGTGTCGTTGAGGAGGAGCTAATTAAGAAGCACATGCGCACCATTGTCGAAATGGAAAATTCGGGCGTGGTGCACATGATCAAAAACTCTAAAACCGAGGACTTGGCATGCACATATAAATTGTTCTCACGCCTCAAGGAGGAGGGCCTCAAAGTGATTGCCGACACAATGTCTGCCTATCTGCGCGAACAAGGCAGCATGCTGGTCAAAGAGGAGGAGAACGGCAACACGAATCCAATAACATTTGTGCAAAATTTGCTCGATCTCAAGGATCGATTCGATCAATTTTTGCTGCACTCATTTAGCAATGATCGACTATTCAAGAATGTCATCTCTGCTGATTTTGAGCATTTTCTCAATTTAAATAACAAATCGCCCGAGTATCTGTCGCTCTTCATTGACGATAAGCTGAAAAAGGGTGGCAAGGGCGTAAGTATATGATAAAATATGGAATAACTTAACATTTATTATATAAAATGATTTCCCTTGCAGATGAGTGAGCAAGAAATTGAAACCATTTTGGATAAAACTATGGTTCTCTTCCGATTTCTACTTGAAAAGGATGTCTTTGAGCGCTATTACAAGACGCATTTGGCCAAACGTTTGCTGCTCAACAAATCGGTCTCCGATGACTTTGAGAAGAATATGATATCCAAACTAAAGGTGAGTGACAAGAATTTGTAGTCACACTGGAAAAGCTTTCACTAACCTGCTTTCCCTTCACCTGTTGCAGACTGAATGTGGCTGTCAATTTACATCAAAACTGGAGGGCATGTTTAAGGACATGTCTGTGTCCAATACGATTATGGATGAATTTAAAAGTTATGTAAATAATAACAGTTTGTCATTAAGCGGCGTGGAGCTGACGGTGCGCATTTTAACCACCGGATTTTGGCCCACACAGGTGATTACTCAACTCTCTCTCTCTCTCTATCTGCCTCACTTACTCTGTTCATTAATCTACATATTCTATATTATGATTATTTATAGACGGCAACGCCCAATTGCAACATACCCTCAGCACCGCGCGAGGCCTTTGAGGTGTTTAAGAAATTCTACCTGGACAAGCACTCGGGTCGGCAGCTGACGTTACAGCCGCAGATGGGTATGTCAGCATCATTATAAATAACATCTGTGCAATTTGCGCTAACAGCTTGCTGGTTTTGCTACAGGCACTGCCTACATCAACGCCGTTTTCTATGGCCGCAAAGCGAATGACAGCGACAAGGACAAGGATGGGCCAAGCTCAAGTTCAAGTGGCTGTCCTGTGCCCACCACAACACGCAAGCATATATTACAAGTGTCCACCTATCAAGTAGGCAACTCAGCTAGCTCTTTATATAGTGCGCATCTAATTTTGTTTCTGCATTATAGATGTGCGTTTTGTTGTTGTTTAACAATCGGGATTTACTGACCTATGATGACATACACCAAGAGACGGATATACCCGAGCGTGAGTTGGTCCGTGCACTGCAATCTTTGTCCATGGGCAAGCCAGCGCAGCGATTGCTAGTGCGCAACTCAAAAACGAAAACAAAGGACATTGAGCCCTCGGACGAGTTTTATGTGAACGATGCATTTGTCTCCAAGTTCCACAGGTGCGTATTCTCATTTGTAATATAAATGAGGAAAGGCTTTATATTATTTTATATTTCAACTCTTGCAGGGTAAAGATCCAAACGGTCGCTGCCAAGGGTGAATCGGAGCCGGAACGCAAGGAGACGCGTGGCAAGGTAGATGAAGATCGCAAGCACGAAATCGAGGCGGCAATTGTGCGGATTATGAAGGCGCGCAAACGCATGGCGGTAATTCATTTAATCAGTGAACCATTTGCATTTGATGATTACAACTAATCACAATTTACAATCTTTTCATTTTGTACTATTTGTAGCACAATCTGCTTGTCTCGGACGTTACGTCGCAGTTAAAATCACGTTTCTTGCCTTCGCCTGTGTTCATTAAGAAACGAATCGAAGGTCTGATCGAGCGTGAATATCTAGCGCGAACGCCAGAGGATCGTAAAGTGTACATTTACTTGGCTTAAAAAGAGTGCTCACGTCACTCATCATTTTGCAATCGAAAGCCAACTATACACGAGGAACTGTGGCCCCATCATCACTCCTCAAATCCCTCCCCATCTAACCCGCTCTCCCCTCCAAACCCAACTCCCCTCCACCCATTTTCAACTTTTATCAATTCGCAATTAATCGGTAACACACAACTATCAACAACTTCAATTAAGCGCCAATGCAGCCACGAGCATCCAAACTGGAATCATATATTTTGACCAAGATGTTAAATAGAATAGACAAGTGCGAAATTTGTAAGCCTGACATTCAAAATTGAACAGTTATTGCTAATCTATAGATGGTTATGCAGCTCTCCTTCTTTCTCTCTCTAATGCTATTGCTATCCATAATATAATTTCGACTATTCTCTAAATTCTTTGCGATTTATTTTACACGAATTTTCATCCCACACACTCTATGTTAATTCTGTTGTGAGGCACAAAACATGCGCCAACACACGCTTACACTTTAGCTACAACAATATGTATAATATAAGCCCATAAACACACACTCACACTCACGTACATACATACTCACTCACTCAAAAACACACACTACTTGGATGGAGAAGCGTAAGGGAAGCAAACTTAAGAATTAATGCATAATGCAAAACATATTTCTAAGCAGCAGTATAAATATAGCTAAAATAATAAATTTCTAAATGAATAATAAATTTAGTAAGCGTTTCATGTACATTTTTACGCAACTTTCGCCTCTTCACGATAAAGTAATTAAAAAGTAAAGATAAAAGAAACATCAATACTAAATTGAAACCTTAAAAAACGCTAAATATTTGAGATTCATGTGAACAGAGTTTAAAGTTAAAAAAGACATTTTAAAATCGATTTTTATATATACATAACTGCTCATAATATACGTGAGCAGGCTTTATAAACAAAAAACAAAAACGAAACAAATAACTATATGGGTGTATTAAAGTTGTTTTAGTTGGTATAGCCTAGGAACACATGTCAATACCAGCCCCCATATATTCAGCAATGTTTTTTTTTTTTCCTTTCTATAATTTTAATTATGCACACTTCTGTGTTATTATTCATTCTTGAAAATATTAATAGTAAGAGAAAAAGTACGAAAAACTTACTTGAAATTGATGTGCGAGTCCATTAAATAAATAATATAAGCGTGTCTGCTTGAAGTGAAAAGAGTAATCAGGCGTATTAAAAACAATTGTACATAATTTTTTGTTCTGATGTATGGAAAAAATGAAAATAATATATATAAATTGATATATATATATATGCACATATGTATGTGTATATATATAAATAAAACGTATTTGAGCGTTGAAATGTACATTTGTACGTGTTATTTGTGGAATTACTGTAAAATAAGGCAATAAACTAGAATCGTTGCGGAAACTTCAACTGTCTGATCTATTCAAAATAGATTCACCTATATACATTTATATTTTAGCTCAGGAAGTATCAAAAATAGAATCTGTTTCATTTAGATTTGCTTCTCTTCAGCAAAACTCAAAAATATATTTATTGAATTTCTTCGGAAATAAGTTTTCTAGCTTAAGTTTATGCATTCAACCTAAACTGTAGACAAAATGTGAAGACCAATTTATTTAATTGTTATACTGTTTTCAGGGAATGTCTTATCAAATTTGGCTTTTGAGTAAAATACAGGTTTTTTGTACTTATGTTGGATTTAACATTGGTCTGCTGTCTATGATTTTATATCCGGTAAGAATAGCATAAATGATATATTAGTTCTATATAATAATTAGTTCTCTATCAATCAAGTCATTGCGATTCATCCGGCTAACTTAAGAGACTAAAAGGGGTGATATTTCTAGATTCTAGATTTTAAATCGAAAGACAACTGCGATTTAGAGAGGGGGTTGTTTATAGGCATATTTTCTCTTTTTACAGGGTATTTGAAAATTGTGCACCAGCAAAGCAAACTCTATTTCTTTTGTTGCAAATAAACTTATCTAACTGGCAAAGATAGGTAAATTATAATTATTTATCAATAAAATTGGCCAACCACCCGACTCGGCCTGGCCCGCCTAAATTGCACGAAGCTGCGCAAATAGAAATGATTTGGCCTTTTGATTTTGAAAATAAATACGCTAAGTTGTTGGGTAAACACTGAGACACTGACACCGGCGACGCGTCGCGACGGGAACAAAGACAGCGACGTCGATTCCAGTTAAGATTCTGATGCTGATCCGATCGAGTTCGATTCGATCTGACGCACTGATAAGGCCAAGCCTCAGCGCGTGTGTCTTGGTGGCCGCAGCCAGACGCTGAGAGCAAGAGCAAGCGAACGAGCGAGAGAGAAAGACGCATTTGGAGGCGCTCCAATGGAGCCTTGCTAACTAAAAGCAAAGCGAAGTGAAAGGGCGCTAATAGTCGACTGATGGTTACCCTGTAGTCAAACAATTTGACTTAATATTGTTATCAGATAATAAAATACTACTCAAAGCTGTTAATGAAGTGCTTAAGATCATATTACTTTATACTGTTTCATAATTATTTTTTATTTAAATTACACGATGCTGATGTCACATATCTTTCATGCTAAATTTTACTGACATTTATTATAATTAACCGGGTGGTATGGTAAACTCAATAGTAAACTCAATCCCTACATTTACATATTGCTTATATATAATATTTGGGGGTTTTGAATGTGGAATATTTACCTTTTGATTATTATCGATATATCCATAAATGATCGCAGGCCTATTTATATATACAAATCTATGTATGTCTGATCTTCTTTGTGGATACCACAAAGCACTCGTTATTGTTAGAGTTGTTTATATAACCATAACGGTTCCACCTCATTTCCATCATTATTTGCCCTTAATTCTACATGCCCTCCCACTCATTTGCATTACAGGGTATCTGCCTGTGATATTGCCTTACTCGCAGCTTGTGTGCACTTTAGACGCACAATATTTCAGTTGTATTCGTCGGCTCGCTCAGTTGCCATCCGTTCAGCAAGCGCAGCGGTCGCAGAATTCGAGTTGAAACTGTGGAATACCACCGATCGGAGCTAAAAGCTAAACATCAACAACAACAACAATAACAACAACGACAGAAGTGGAGACCGTATCCAAAACTAAAAGCGGCTGAAAGCCGAAACCATTTGTTCGCGTGCTCATGTGTTGTGCGTCTGTGTGTGTGTGTGTGTATGTCTAGCAAAACAACGGGCGTAAACAACAAGAATATATATACATATATACATTTATATATATAAATAATTTACATATATACATGTACTTTTTTGATATATGTAGAATACTTATGAAAATAAACAAAACTACGTCAGAAGACGGCAAACAAAAGATATGAACACGCCGACGCCGCAGTCGCCGTCGTCGTCGCCGTCGCAGTCGCAGACTCAGCCCACAACGACGTCAGCGTCGCAGCCAAGGTTCGCCTGAACGTTAGGTGAATCGAATAAATATATTTTTTTTCCGATTTTTTATTAACATTTGTTGCGTTGCACCGTTGTTATTGTTATTGTTTTTTTTTTTTTTTTAACGGTTGCGTGTGTAAAGTTAGTGACCTTAGAGTGAAGTGTGATTTCGCAGTGAGGAAAACTGCATTTGTGTGTTTTGGAATTGAAATCGAATCGAATCGTAGCAGGCCCAGACGGCATTAGCAATGCCTTGGAGACTGTCTCCATTCACTTTTTGATCCGAACCAGACTAGAACACTTGGCCTAATTACACAAGCGATTCTAGGCTAAAATTCAACAACAAATTGGCATTATTTTGAACTATTTTGTGTTTTTTTTTTTTTTTTTGCTTTCGCGGAAATTGTTTACTTTTGTTTTGGTAATCTAAAAAAAAATTGAAGAATAAAAGGGTTTTCGTGATGAGCCAACGACGAGTTTTTTGCCTAAATGCCACGACAATGGGTCTGTCCACTTCGCCGCCATCGTCGCCGCGTGGTCCGCCCCCAGAGTTAGATAGGCAGCCGGACAAAAAGGACCAACAGCAGCAGCAGACGCAGGAGCAGCAGGAGGAGAAGTGTGAAGAGCAGCCAAACCAACAAAATGAAAAGCCAAAGAAGCCAATGGATGAGTCTAGGAAACAACCACAGGAGGAGGCAAAAGATCAAGCACAGCCACCACCAGCGGTGGCAGCACCACAGCCAGCACGCTCAGCACCACCGGCAGCACGTGCAGCACACCCCACCATAAGCGATCTGCCAAACATATGCAGGCACTATGCGGCGTGCAGCTTGTCGGGCGGATGTGACGCGTCTGTTGGATTCGGCAATCTCGAGAGCAAGTCGGGCTCGACACTCACAAGCACCGAGCACTACCACAACCAGCTGCAGAAGCTGCGCACCATTTGCGGCGAAGCGGCCATTACGAACTTTGAGCTGAATAACTTATTCCTAAATCGACTCAAGGAGATCGATTGCCTGGATGAGCAATGCGGCGGCGATTCGGTGGGTATTAGGAAGGTGGAAGGAAGTGCTAAGCAACATACAATTCAATAAATTTCCATTAGTTCCTTGAGCTCCTGAATACTATTTCCACTCCAATTTTCCAGAAATTCACCAAACTGCGGCTGGCCACATTTCAGGATTGGGTCGACCTACTGCTGCATGTCAATTACATTATTTTTGGCAATATGTCGGCCATGGAGGTGGAGGCGTACGAGAAGATCATGAACTGTTTCCAATCGGTGCGCGGTGAACAGCAGCAGGCCCAGGATGAGAATCGCAAGCTGCGCAAGGATATGTGCGCCATTATAAAGCTGGTGCAGCACGCCTTCCATCACAATACCTGGAACACGGACGACATGTGCCTGGAGACGTTGACGGTGAATCAGCTACTGGGCATACAGGGGGATCAGGCAAGGCCGGAAAGCGAAACCGAGAAGGTAGGTTTGGCAATTGGATGCACTTATTATCCCACAGGGGCTGCTAGGGGCTTCCTTCCCATCATCATCTTGTGTTCTTCTAGAAGGCCGGGCGTTCTAATGCAGAGAAGCCGCGCGTTTCATATTCCGATCAAATCGTATTCGAGGAATCCAATCGCCTATAATTGTTATATAATTGATTTGCATTTTACTGCGTTTTTGTTTTTATTTATTCCATATCGTTGTGTGTGTGTGTGTGTGTGGAGTTCAGATTCAATTAATTGTTGAAATAAACTTTGTTTCGTTTTGTGTTATCTGAGAGAGCATCGTATTTCGATTTCTGATTGGCATTATTTGATTACAGGTAACCAAATGCATGCGCTCTCTGGCCAATGAGGTGGCGGCCAAGCACGACGAGGTCTGTCACCTGCAGTCCCAAATGTGTGCCCTCGACGAGGTGGTCCAGACGGCGCGACAAAAGCTCATTCTCAAAGATCAATGCATAGCTCAGCTCAATC